GAGGTGGAATTAGAATCTGGAATGTTTATGTGGATCTATAATATTTCTTGGTCTGATCAGTAAAATATTAACAGTGACCAGTACAATTATTAGTTTTTGAATAATACTGCATATTATTAAATTAATATTGCAAGTTTTCAAGTGTATTTACCAATTTTTTAGAAATCATAACACATTTTCCAGTAGAAACAAATCAGTCAGCTGGATTCCTAGACCAGGTTGCTTATCTCTTAGTATCACTCATCATCCCCAGGCTGTGGTATATATGCTCTTATCTGACCCAATCTCCCAACCAGACTTGACCTTTTAAGCTATTCTACTGTGACCTCTGGACTCAGTGACTGTCATCACCTTTATATGGCCAGCCTTTTCGACTGTTCTTTCTTGGTGTGTCTTGGAGGACATACTTCCCTGGCAGCCCTCTTAATAGAGGCTTATGTTTCGACTTTCTCTTTATACTTCATAGTCTGGAATTGCTCCCCAATGCTGTATGTAGAACATTCTTCTTTTTCCTTCAAAATCCTCTGCTCCATGGAGTTCTTGTCTGGAAGTGTATTACCCACCAATTCTAATGGTTGCTAGAGTTTTCCAGCCTGGTCACTCATCCACTTTCACAAACAGCTTTAGCACCTGACTAATGGTCTTCCTTTTTTATACCTATGTTCCTATCACTATTGTTTTTTATTTCAAAAATCCCAAAGGTGGGCCTCCCTGGTGGTACAGGGCGTTAAGTATCAATGACAGGAAGCTATTGGCAGCCACTGCAGCACAAATTCGATCTCTGGCCAGGGACCTGCACAGCAGACCACTCCTGTCTTGTCCCCTGCTCCCTTCAGCAGTGTATTTCAATAGATCAACCTATTCTGTTTTCCACTCTGCTTCTGGTGAATCCTCTCTCCCCCCCCATATCTGCCCCTCTGGTCTATACTCGTTTTTGTATAAATAAATAAATAAATAAATAAATAAATCTTCTCTAAAAAAGATCCCTAGGGTACTTCATATATGGTAGCCTCTCATCCTCTCCAACGATCTCTTCAGCCTACCCTCAGGCCCCTACCTTGGGCTTTGTCATTGCCAAAATAATCTTCCTCAATTTATTGATTTAGAGCCTTTCATCTCTAATGATCACCTCTTAGCCTTCTAGTTCATTTGCTCATATATCCTCCGTCCTTTCACTTCCTGAAACCTTCTAAACCAGTGAAACTACCAATTTTTCACTTTCTACCAACCCCTTTTTTTACTCTCCTCTTACCTACTTCATAGCCATATCTAAAACATAATTACTCTTGAATACTGCAAAAACTTAAAAATTCTGTATTTTTCCTTTAAAAAAAGATTTATACATAGAAGAACTGGGGTATAAGCCACAGGTGCATGGGGGTGAAAAGATTCACCAGAGACAGATTGGGCAATAGAACAGGCACATTGACCAAATTCACTGCTGAGGAGAGCAGCGGACGGGACAGGAGAGGTCTGCTGTGCCATGTAAGTCAACTTCCCGGTAGGAGATTGAACTTAGGTGTAGTGGTGATAGTGTTCAGATAGGCCACTAGGGAGCTCTTATTTTTCTTTTTTAGCAAGACCCAACCCTGGTTATTTCCAACCATCCATCTTTTCACTCCTAGAGGGAAAAGTTCACAGTGATGTTGACTGGTCTTAATTTATACCAGTGACTCTTAAATGGAAACAATTTTGTCCTTCCCCTCTCTGGGATACTTGTCTGAAGACATTTTTGATTGTCACAGTGGAGTTCAGGGGAGAATTCTATTGGCATCTAAGCAACTGAAATGAAAGATGCTACTAAATATCCCACAATGCACTGGAACTACAACAGAATTATTTGACCCCAAATGGCAATATTGCTGAGGTTGAGAGACCCTGCTTTAATTATTCCAAGTCTCCAAGGAGCAACTGACACAGGGTCTTTGCACTTGCTGTCCCTCTGCCTGAAACATGATTCTGTCATGACTGGCTTACTATTTAGCAGTTACTTCCTCTGAAAGGGCTCCCTGACTTCACTCTAAAGTGGACCCAACCTCATTACATTATTCTGTTTTATTGCCTATTAAACATGTACTCTTTTGTTTATGTTTTTATTGCCTGCTTCCTCCCTTTTCAATCTAATTACATGAGTACAATATCCTTGTCTATCTTGTTTATAACTGTATCCAAGTATTAAGCACGGTGTCTGGTACATTACATAGGGACTCAGAAAATATCTGAGCAAGTAGATAGAAACATTGTTTGTTTGCATTTCATTCATTCATTCATTCATTCATCAAGTATTTATTGGTGATAAAACACAGATGCATCTCTGCCCGCTTGGGACTTATAACACAGTGAAGAGACTGACACTGAATAAATAATCACACAAAATAAATACATTCAAGCTATGACAAGTACGTTGAAAGAAAAGCACAAGCAGTGGTGAGAGCAGTGAGGTGATCCGATTCAGTCTGGGTTGGAATAGTCATTATCAGGCTCCAGAGGAGAGGTGACATTTGAGCTGATAGCTGAAGAATGGGTTGGTCAGTGGGGTAGTGAAGGTGAGTGGGTAGAGGGAAGAGCGTCCAGGCATAGAGAACAGTGTGCACAAGTACTTTGGTGGCAAGGAACATAGTACAATTCAGGAAGACGGAAGCCAGTGTGGCCGTGGCCAAAGCACAGAATCTGGTAAGCTATGGTTTGGTACTTCTTTTGCTAAATCCAGTGGAGCAATAGCAGCTAAGAAGAGTGATTGGGAGATTTCAAACTGGAAGCGACAAGATCCAACTTTCTAAAACAACAACAACAACAAAAAGGTCACAGGCCACTTAGACAGATTTTAGAAGGGCAAATGGGGAATCAAGGAATTTGGTTTGAACATAGCTAATGGTGACTTGGTCTGAGGTGGGGGGAGTGAGTTTGAAGAGCAGTTGGGTATACAGTTGATTCTTGAAAAAAATGGAGGCTACAGGTTGTGACATTCCCCCACAGTGAAACATTAACAAATACCTTTTTTTAAAATCTATTTTTCCATGCATATAACTTTTGACTGAAAGTTAACTAGTAGCTTAGAAACTCTTATCAAGGACATAGGCAATTAACTATTTACAGTTATATGTATTATACTCTGTATTCTTATACTTAAGTAAATGTTATTTAGAGAAAATTTTATTAGGAGAAAAAGAAAATATCATTAAGAAAATCTTAAGGATGAGAAAGTACATTTAGAGTTTTGCACAGTATTTATTGAAAACAAGCTATCCATGCAGTTGGAATCTGTGTTGGTAAAGCATCCGCTGTACTCAAGTAATGAGAAACATGGAACTTTGGAGCTGAAAAGCACTTAAAAAAAAACTCATCATTGGGCCCTCCCTGGTGGCCCAGCAGGTTAAAGCACAGCACTAAGAGGCTTTAGCCACTTCTGCATGAGTTCGGAGTAAATGAGGGAAGCTTGGGAGACATATCCTGAGGAAAGGGACGTTTTGGGTAGAGTGAGAGGAGCAGGGGGGTGAAGTGGAGTCAGGGCTGAATCAAAGGACACATTAATGCCAGAAATTAGGGAGGACAGCATGGTGGGAACATTGGAGAGTCTTTGCAAATTAGGCAGGTCCAGGCTGGGAACCAAGGAAAGAGTCAGGTGCACAGGCCTGGGGGTAGCTGGGAATGGGGGTGGGGGGAGAAGGGGTGAAGGAGGACAGGTTTGAAAAGACTCCCAGGGAGGGGCATGTTGGGTGTAGGTCTTATTGTACTCCCTACCCTCGGTGGTTTTTTTCCTTCAGCTAAGTGGGCCCTCGGTGTCGGAGTGGATAGCGACCAGACCAGCGTAGAGGTGGAGTGCAAGGGGACCTAGCTTTAAGTCACGTCAGGGATGGGAAAGAGGGCCAAGAAGATGGGGGATGTTGCAGCAACTTGCCGGAAAGAAAGCCAGGTTCTGGTGGAAGACAGAGTAAGAGGACCACCGACAGAGGCGCGGGAATGGCAGATAGGGAGGTGTTGTGGAAGTGGAGGGCTGCCGAAGCGGGGAGGTCTGAGAGATTGGGGTCAGGGCTCTTGACAGTAGGATCGGCTAGGATAAGTGGGGGCGTAAAAAAATAAATGAAAATTAAGAGCGCGTGGGGAGGGGAGTAGAGCCGTACAAAGAGCACCTGGAGTGGAAACCAAAGTCTCCGCGGCGGGCAACAGGCCCAGTGAAGGCTGAGGGGGGACGATCCCCCTCCTCCCAACCTGCTCCGCAGCGTTTCAGGCACATCATTTGGAAAGAGGGAAAGGAGCTTCTTGGTGCCCAAGGGAAGTCTAACCTAGAGGAACTGACTCTGATCTTGGGACTCCTGAGAAAGCGTCGGTTTTCCCCACCTCCAACGGTCAAAACCCGACAAGTGAAGGGGCGTGACACCGGGGCTCAAGTTTCTTCCTCTTTACCTGAATAAGGAGGGGTAGGGGCCAGGACTTCCGGTTCAGGTGAGTGTCCCTTCGGTGACGTCAGGTCAACCTCGGCCTCTGCACCGGTCCCGCCCTCCCCCCCTCCGGCGCAGCGATGCCCGCGGGGGCGCGCCCCCGACGCCCTACATATACTCAGGTGCGCCGCACCTGTCCTCCCGCACCTGCTCGCTCACGGGCGTAGGAGCCTCTCGTGGTGCCGCGGACTGGATACGACAGCTGGGGTACTTGGGGGACTTCCAGCGCCCAAGACCGCGCCCAATCGGGCCCTCCAGCTTTTGTTTGAGTGGGGTCGCTGAGAGCTGGGAAGGGAACTGCCAGGCCTTCGCGGATCGCTTTTGTCTGGTACCAATCCTCCCGCGTAGCCTGTTCATTCTGCTATTGAGACCCTTGCCCCTCCGGAGGGGGTCGATTTGTGTTTACTTCGGGGAGTGAGAAGATTTGCGGTCACTCAACTAAAACTTTTCTTGCTTTTTTTGGTGACCTAAGACTACTAATTAGTATTTTGTGGGGTAGTCCCCCAAAGTCTGTTTTATTACAGGGTCGCCTGTCGGGCGTCCCCGTTTCTGAGGGCGGAAATGGCCAATTCGGGGCTGCAGTTGCTGGGCTTTTCTATGGCCCTAATTGGCTGGGTGGGCCTGTTGGCGTCCACTGCCATCCCGAAGTGGCAGATGAGCTCGTATGCAGGCGACAATATCATCACGTCCCAAGCCATATACAAGGGGCTATGGATGGAGTGCGTCACACAGAGCACGGGTTTGATAAGTTGCAAAATATACGACTCGGTGCTCGCCCTGCCGGGTAAGTCAGCGGAATCGACGGGACGACGGGACGGGCGCGCCCAGGGCCGAGGTCGCCGGGTGGGGTACGGGGCAACGCAGGAGGCCCCAGGGCAGGACGCTGTGGGTTGCCTGGGAGCTGGCGGGGAGAAGCTCAAGTGGGCCGGGGCTCTGGGGCTAGTCTGGGGCGGGCCATGTTCTGGGTGGCACGTGGGCCAGTAGCCCGAGGGCCAGCTGCGCCCCTCTTCAGCTCCTAGTCCAGCCTTGGCCGCCGGCGGCCCAACCTGCTCGAGGAGAAGTGGGGCCCCAGGCCCGGGTAGTCCCTTGCTCCACAGCCCTGACCAGGCTTCGGCCTCCCCTACCTCCCACCGTTTTATCTCCCGCAAAAGGCCGCGCTTGAGGAAGCCGCGGGGTCGACCGAGGGCCGAGGAGCGCGCGCTCAGTCAATTTGGGCCGCTGCCTGCAGCCGCTAATCTTATCCGCAGATTAGCCGAAGCCACAAACCCTGCGGCCTCGATAGGGGGGGTCAGATCAGGGACGCGGCCGGCACTGCGACCCTATGGGGGGTCCGGATGCCGCGTCCGCTTTTCCTCGAGGCCCTCACCCTTCCCCCTCGCAGTTTCATCGAAACCTGGTTGCCCCGGGCGGGTTCCTAGGGTTAGAGAGGGCGGGGCGGAGCTGAAAGGCTTCGCAGTCAGGGCGGGGGCAGCACCTAGTTAGCTTGAGCCCTGGACTTGGACGCTGAGAGGGTTTTGGGGGGGAGGGGGGCAGAATCCTGATGGCCGACTCCAAATCTGAAACCTTACGAGGACCGCCTTTTCCAGCAATGACCGTGTCATTCTCCCTACTCCACAGTACCCTTGCAGGCCACTCGAGCCCTAATGGTGGTATCCTTGGTGCTGGGCTGCATGGCCATGATCGTGGCCACGATGGGAATGAAGTGTACAAACTGTGGGGGAGATAACAAAACGAAAAAGGCCCGTATAGCCATGACCGGAGGTATCATTTTCATCGTTGCTGGTGAGTCACAGAACTAAGATGGACCCATGGACCCTTCTTTCCTCTCATCCTGGAGGTAGGGTGGGGCAAGATGACTCTGAGTTTAATATATCAAGAATTCTTATTCTTTCCAGGTCTTGCTGCCTTGACAGCTTGCTCCTGGTGTGGCCACCAGATTGTCACAGATTTTTATAACCCTTTGGGTGCCATGAATTCTAAGTAAGTCTGTCTTCTCTTCTGAGGCGGCAGGTTTGGGGTGGGGTGAGGTAGGACAGGGTCTCTGACCCCAACTCCCTCTCTCCACAGGTTTGAGTTTGGTCCTGCCATCTTTATTGGCTGGGCAGGGTCAGCGCTGGTCATCCTGGGAGGTGCACTGCTATCATGCTCCTGTCCTGGGAGTGAGAACAAGGCTGGATACCGGGCGCCCCGCTCCTACCCTAAGCCCAATTCTGCCAAGGAATACGTGTGAGCTGGGACCCCTTTGTGCCTGCCTGGTGCTTATGTGTGTCCAGGCAACTGAAAGGACCCAGGGTAGAGATCTCAGCGTGGAGGCAAGCTGTGGAGTGACTGGCAGCCTCATCACGCCAACCTTGCACATCATGTACAGTTGGTGGGAAGACAAAAGGAGGGGAGGGTGTGTTTTTTGTATAGTAATAAAAAGTGTGTTTTGGAAAGTTGGCTTTGCCCCCTTGAGGGTTTCTGCTTTCTTCTCAGATCCTTGCAGGGAGCCTGGACTCTTTAGTATACCTAGTCAGTTAAAAAAAACACTGATGGAGCACTGATGGTGTGACTGTCCATGCGTGCGTCCCACCATTTCTTTGTGATTCAGACCCCAACACTTACTGACTCAAGGTCTCAAGTGCTTGGATTCCCTTTCATCGGTCCTCTCCACTCAACTTTTGCTTAGCTAATTACCAAAGTTTCTTTAATAAAAAATTAAGATTTTATTAGGTGTGGGGAAGTTTCTTTTTCTTTCGTCTTCTGTGAACTCCATCCCACTTTCTGTTCTATTGGACAGTAATTCTGGACTCATGGGTCATAGGGCAGGGTCTCCACAGACACAGAACAAAGGTGGGACAGGGGCAAAGCAAGGCCAACCAAACAATGGAAGTATAGTCATGGGCCCAAGGTCTTCCTCCTTCCTGTCTAGTTATGATCTAATCAAATTTCCTAGCCAGTCAAACATCTAGGTCATCATCTGGGTCTTCTTGGTCCAGGTCGTCATAAGCATCTGGTTCATAGTAGATATGGCTAATAGCTCGGCCTGGTGTAGGTTGCAGTAGAGTCTGCTGCCTGAGAAGGGAAGAAATGGTGCTGGTCAGGGTGGATAACGAGTAATGTTTGGATAGCCTATTCCCAATTAATGCGGCTCCCTCTTTGGTCTCTATTTTGTCTTGGTCCAAGTCCCTTTCTCTGACTTCCTGACTTCAGAGCACCATCTGGTACTGGGATATACTCCTATACTACTCTACTAATAATGACCAAAGTTCTCAGCAGCTTGAGGGCAAGGATCCTGTAGTAGTCTTGCTTCACACACACACACACACACACACACACACAGCACATAACATCTACTAAGCCTTTATTAATCTGCTTTTGCCATACCCATCTAGCTTCCTATTCTAGCATGGATGCCTAAGGATAGGCATCTTCCTAGGGTCTGGTACTGGGATATAGTCTCATACTGTTCTACTAATAATACCTGGCTCTGCCCAAGCCCAGATTATTTGGAGACAATGGTGGAGCTGGGGCCCAAGGCTCTACTGGAAAGAGACATAAAAGCCCTTTGCTATTGTTAAGAGTATGGGTGGGTAGAAAAACCACTCCCTAGACTGTCTCTCGAGGTGGACTTTAGCCCCTATAAAGACTGGGAGGTTAATCAATAACCTGTCGTCGCCCCACCCCTTAGGCACAGGTGCTGGGTACCTATGCCCCAACCTTACTTTTCAGAGCTGAACTGGAAGGGCAGGGTCAGGTTATCTTTGGCTTCTTTCTCTTCCTTGGACAGGTGAAGGTTAAAGGTCAAATGAGTTGTGGGGTCCACCTGTAGGTACAGAGGATGCCAATGATCCATTGTTGGAATCCTTGACCACATCCCAAAGTCTGTAAATTTTATTGTCTCCTTTTGTGAGACCCCGAACTCAATTCTCTGTCCTGGTCCTCTTAGATACCTGGAGTCTGTGAAGATCTAGGTGGTCCTGGGATTCTAGGGGTGGTCCTCCTTGAAGATCCAAACTGAAGTCAGGCAAGATGCAGAACCACTGAATCTGAGAAGAAAGAACAACATTAAACAGATTTTCTCCATCTTACTGAATATAGCAGAACACTGAAAAACTAACCAGCCCCAGGCATCAATGTAATTGGGTCCTTTTAGTTCTTGCTTTCCACTTTTTTTTTTTTAAAAAGATGTTTATTATGACTGGATTAAAAAGATGTGGTACATATATACAATGGAATATTACTCAGCAACCAAAAAAGAGAAACACATGTCTTTTGCAGCAACTTGGATGGAGCTGGAAAAGATCATGCTTAGTGAGATAAGCCAGAAAGAGAAAGAAAAATACCGGATGGTTTCACTCATAGCAGGAGTATAATGAACCAGGCGAGAAAATAATAAGAATAATGAACAGCCATATACCAGAGACATTTTGTGGGGGAGGAGGGGGGAAGGGAATCAAAAAGGGGGGGTGGGGGGGAAGGAAGTGCACAGTGCACGGGATTATGGTGATGGCACACAGGTGACTTGGTGGTGATGGGAAACCTGCGGGGATTACAATTGAGATGGGAAAAAAAAAATGTACAAAATGATGTGAAAATAAACTGTTATTAAAAAAAAAAGGTTTATTTATGCATATGAGAATTGGGGTGTAGACCAGAAGTGTGGGGGCTTGAGAGGATTCACCAGAGACAGAGTGAGGAGCAGAACAGCCAGATCTAGGAAGTACACTGCTGAGGGGAGCAGTGGGCAGGACAGGAGAGGGCTGCTGCAATGTGTGGGTCAACTCCCTGGCCAGGGGTCCAACTCATGCTGCAGTGGCTGGCAACTGCTTTTAACCCCTAAGCCACAAGGGAGGTCCAGTTTATCTTTTTCTGATTGAAGAGTATTCCTTTGTGTATATATATATATACCACATCTTGATTCACTTGTCTATCTTGGGGCATTTGGGGTGTTTTTAGGTTTTACCTATTATGAATAGTGCTGCAGTAACTACAGGAGTACAGGTATTGTTTTAGATCAATGCTTTTGTGTCCTTTGGGTAGATCCCTAGGAGTGGAACTTATGGGTCATACGGTGGCTCCATTTTTAGTCATTTGAGGAAACTCCTTACAGCTTTCCTTAGTGGTTGGACCAGTTTATATTCCCACAGGCAGTGGAGGAGAGTTCCTTTTTCTCTACATCCTCGCCAACATTTGTTGTTGCTAGTTTTTCTAGTATGTGTCATTCTTACAGGTGTAAGGTGGTATCTCATTGTGGTTTTGATTTGCATTTCCCTGACTGTGAAGGATGTTAAACATTTTTTCATATGTCTATTGGCCATTTGAAAGCAACTCTTTTTTTAATAGTTCTTTCTTTCTTTTTTTTTTTTTTTACATCATTTTGTGCCTTTTTCCATCTCAGTTGTTGAAAGCACTATCTTTTATGCCTTAATAAACTCACAGGATGATTTGGACAAGATATGAGTTCAAATCCTAGGTCTACAACTTACTCTCTATAACCTTGGATAAGTGACTTAAATCTTCAATTTTCCTGGATTTTTGTTTTGTCTCAGGCTGCAAAGTGGGGATAATAAAATAATCTGCCTCACCGGTGGTTGTGAAGACTAAATGAAGGAAAGGATGAAATGATGAAAGCATAGGGATGTGCTCAATCACAGCATTTCTAGTGTTCTCATCAAGACTTCCCTTGCCTGACCCAAACTCTAATCCACCTGGTGCTCTGACCTGATGGGTTGGGCGCTGTTGGTGCCTCCGATAGAGGATGTGGGCTGAGGTCTGTCCTGCTGTACCTCTCAGGGTCACCTCAGTTTGAGCAAGGCTGCTCAATGCTCCCACGGGGCCTGGGCCATGAAGCTCTTCATGTAATAGGCCTAGCACACGTACCTGTCCCACTGGGGAGCTGCCACCTGGAGAGGGACAAGAAATCAGAATATAGGCTAAAGAAATGAGTGAGGTCTCAGATATCTTTTTGCTTAGAGTGAGGTCTCAGATATCATATTCCTTAGCAGAGGGTGCATGAGGGGATACAGGGGTCTTACCAGGGCAGGAGTCCTGATGGCTTAGAGTATGCAGGGTCTGGCAAAGTGAGGCACAGGAGAGGTGAAGCAGCAGCCAGCTGAGTGAATCAAGTGCAATGGTGACAGGACCAGGATCTGTCCTCTTGCACATGGCTCTCAATGTTCCCAGGGCATTGGGAAAAGATTCCCCAGTTTTCAACCAGTTGAGAGGGTCTTTGAAGAAATCATGGTAAACCAACCTGCAAAGGAGAAACAGGTGGTAACACAATGACTTACACCCCATCTCAAATTTCATTCTCTGATTTTTGCTTTTTTTCACATTTTTTGTAAAAATCCTAAATATCAATGACAATTATTACTTAGAGGTAGAATATGTTGATTGAAAAGAGACTTTCATGTCAGACAGCCCTGAACTCCAAGTTGGCTTTGTTATCTGGTGAAGACCAGGTTCCTGATATATTCCCTTATTTAAGATTCAGTTTCTTCACTTATAAAAAAGAGACACCAACTTCTCAACATGTAGTACAGTGTTTGACATACACTAAATACTTGTTAGGTACTAGTTATCATTATTATCAATTGATATCATGAGTAGTACCTAAAGTGAATCACTTTATGGACAGGTGAAGGGAAAGGAATGAAGAGACATGAAAGGTTAAGAATTAAAGTCAGGGCCTCCTGAGTGGTGAATGGGTTTAAGTTGCAGCACGATGAAGCTATATACAGCCACTGTAGCATGAGTTCAATCCCTGGCCAGCGAGCTACCGACATGATGAAGCAGAACTCTTCTGTCCCACCCGTTGCTCCCCTCAGCAGTGTATTGCACTCAATCTGCCTGTTCTGTGTCCCACTCTGTATCTGGTGAATCCTCTCACCTCTCCCTCCTGAAACTCTGGCATGTACCTCAGTTATTGTATGCATAAAGAAATCTTTACCAAAAAATAAATAAATAAAAAAAATTAGGTTATACGGTACTAACTACATATAAAATAATCAATCCAGAAAGGCAGAGTGGCAGGGGCTAGAAATCATGGTAATAGAACATGTTACCAGATAACCCCTTTCTGTGTTCTGCTTCCTATGTGAATATCATCTTAACATTTATAATATATATAACAACCTCTACAAAATTAGGTCTTAATAGATTAAAGTATAAAATACTATTATTATCTAATGGGTTGTCCAGGCCAGGAAGTGATCTTTCTTAAGCAGACAACAGTGACCTCATGCTCTGGATGCTTTTCTCTCCTCATAGACAAAGTCTGTAAGTCTTGGGAATTCTGCCTGATAAGGTTTGTTTACATCTGTCCTAAACTCTTTGTTGCTAATGCTCTTGTCATTTATCATTATTCTCTAAGATTCATTAGGGTAGGAACTATATTTTCATTATTCACTATTGTATCTACTGCACCTAGCAATTCCTGGTTTACAACTGATACTCAGTAGGTAGACATCTAAGTCCTGTTTACAAACTGCCCCCTTCCAACCAATTCTCCACACTGTCACTGGATTTGTCTAATAGGATGATGTAACTGCTCTGTTCCCAAATTTTCAAATGATTCCTCCTTGCCCCAAGAATAATACGTACCTTTTCAGGCCCGATAAGTTTTATTATCAGATACATTTTTATTTTTCTGACCTCATGAAGTTCTTCCGTGAACAGCTATCTCAGAATAGATACCATATCTCCTTAACTTGGCATATACCATTCCCTCTATCTCTATATTTCCCAACTTGCAGAGTGTTGATGTAAGTCATGTATGGGTTAAATATCACCAGTTTCTGAATAACTGAAAAGTCAGAACACATTTTTGTTATCCTCCAGTAAAGCCTAGTGCTGAATTGTAGTTGGTCTTTTATTACTATTTCTCTCTAAACTTCTATGGTCTCTGCTTCCTCTTACTAATTCCCTGAGAGACCCATACCCAGTCACTCAATAAATATTTAAGTAACTGCTATTACACACCAGGTTCTAAGCTGCTGCTGTACGGGAATTTCCTTAGTAACAGAGATCCCACATCCAATTAAATCTGTTTGTTCTTACCGGCTGTTGATGTTGGAGTCAAACCCTTCACGAAACTCTTGCTCGCTCACTTCACAGCCCAGAATATGGACTTGCTCCCCACTGACGCAGAGATAAAGGGGAGTGTCAAAGAGTGAAGTCTAGGCTCCCTTCCCGGGGGGTGAAGGGGAGATACTGTGTAACTCACCACAGTGCAGATTTCTTGATAAGTGCTTTCAGCAGACTGCGCCCCTCCCACTCCACCGAGTCTGGGAAAAGAGATGGATAAATTTTGTAAGAACACTGAGGTCTCCGCCTTCACGAAGTTGTTGAGATCTCTACACCTGACCTGAGTGGTTGACACTTTTATATTTTCGCCTTTTAAGCCGGGCTCCCAACGTCTTAGGCCCGCGGTCCTTACCCCGAAGGAGCACCAGACCACCAAAAGCCAAAACTGACTCCAACATCTTCAACTGGCGTCGCGCTCACTCCTCCGACGCCCTTTGATGGCGTCATGACCGCTGCACCGCCTCCTTCAAGCGAAAGGGGCGGAGCACTCAGGTTTCCCACCCACTAAAAACCGGAGCGAGGCGGTCACATTCAACGTTGCCAGGGAGGCTCCTGCGGAGGGGGTTTTCCTGAGCTTAGTCGCAGACTTAGGGACGACGCCACTCTACATTTTTACCATGAGTAGGAAGGAGGAAGGGAAGGGCCGTTGGGGCAGTTGTCAACATGCGAGGGGGAGGGTCAAATGAGTCTGTCAGATGGTCGGAACCTCTCGGCCTAGAGCCTCCACTCGGCCCCGCCCACATCCCGGGAGGCGAGGCCCGCTTCCTCTCAGGCCCTGCCCACCGACATTTTCCGCGCGTGCGTAATACTGCGGTCTTGTGGGACACAAACTCCATTTTCCTGTCTCCACCCCCATAGACCGACCTAGGGGAACTGAAGTCCCGGTAAAGCGAATACACGTCACCACCGGAAGTAGTGTCAGAGGGGAAGAGGAGGGGGGAAGAAAGGCGGAGGGAACCCTTTGGGCGGTAAAATGGCGCCTGTCAGAGTGGGAAATCCAGCTGCAGAGGCTGCAGCCCCGATTCCCAGCGGCTAAGGCACCACCGACTTCGGGGAGGGGGAGGCCGCTCCGGTCCAGCCGTCTTCGTCCTTCGGCTCCCCCTCCCCCTCTTTTCTTGCACCTTTGCTCAGCTGTCCAATTCTTGGCGGACGCAGCCCTTTGAGCGCCGCTGCCCCCGCCCGCCCGCCCCTTTCCCGCGGGCAGCCCCCTAGCGCGCCTGCGCAGCGGGCCACCCTTCGCTCCCCCTTCCCCCCCCCCTTCCTTCTCCCTCCCTCCCTTCTCCCTAGCCCCCTCCCCCACTACCCCCTCCCCCAATTCTCCATCCCCTTCCCTCCCGGTCTCGAAGGACCCCGTCCTAGCCCGACCTGTCTCATCCCGCAACCCCCGCGAAGCGGTCTGTACCATTCCCCGCCCATGTGGGCCCCCTTGGGCTGCCCACGCCTGTCCCCCAGCTCCCGGTTCCGCTGGGCTTTCCCCTCGTCGGGGGTGGCTTTCTGAGCCTTCCGCTCCGAGCCCCTTTCTATCGCTTCTCCTGCCACTCGGGGCCCCCGTACCCCCTCCCGGCGGCGGGGGGCTGCCCCCGGGGGGCTGGCGGAGCTGGGCCGCGGGGGCCCCGGGGCCGGCGGTGCCGGGGTCATCGGGATGATGCGGACGCAGTGTCTGCTGGGGCTGCGCACGTTCGTGGCCTTCGCTGCCAAGCTGTGGAGCTTCTTCATTTACCTTTTGCGGAGGCAGATCCGCACGGTGAGCCTGGATGGGTGCTCGTGGTGGTGGTGGGGACCTCAGTCAGCGGTGTTCAAGGGTTTTCGGAAAGTGTCGGGCCTGTGGTTGGGCCTAAGAACGGTGTCCTGGCGGTGGCTTCTCCCGCTAGACAATCAGGCACCTTTAGTTGGCTTGGGGTGGGATGGGGAAGTGGGAAACACTGTAACAGAACTGAGATTTGGGGGGACCTAGACAGGAAACGGAGTTGGCAGTTCTTAGGGGCTAGGCTAGTGGGTGGAGCGCACTTTAAGAAAGCTGAAGTTGTTGCTAAAGAAACCAAGAAGCGGGGAACACCTGTTTGATGGCAGCCTGTGTGCTGCTGTGGGTTTGTGAAAGGTCCTCCTATTATTAGGAATCTTCTTGTGGGTGTTTCATCTTGTAACAAGGGAGAGAAAGGCTTATGTGTCAAGGGTGATGGTGGGAGGGCAGACAAGGATGGAGACTTGGGAAAAACTCTGAATGTGACCCCTCCCCGCAGAAGGTCTGGAACACTTTTTTCATAGCTTGAGTGTGGATTATTGAGATCTTGGGACTGAAAAAGAGGCTGCTTTAGTCGTGGAAAGGAACAATTAAAGTTTGGGGTTGTCCCTATCAGAAGACTGCTTGTCAGTTGTAGGGCTTGAATTTGAAGACTTACTAGTTTCTCCAAGAGGCCTTAATATTGTGATACTCAGAGGAGTGGAGACTGTGTGGATGTACCCAAGTATCTCTGGGCTCCCTCCCCCATAGTTCTTCAAGGTCAAAGCTTCTTAGGCTAACATTTAATGAATGTGCTGTTGTGCTCTCATCTCCACTGGGGAGAAATGACTAAAGGGGTATAGGGAGAATTGCTGAATTGTAGTTGGTCTTTTATTACTATTTCTCTCTAAACTTCTATGGTCTCTGCTTCCTCTTACTAATTCCCTGAGAGACCCATACCCAGTCACTCAATAAATATTTAAGTAACTGCTATTACACACCAGGTTCTAAGCTGCTGCTGTACGGGAATTTCCTTAGTAACAGAGATCCCACATCCAATTAAATCTGTTTGTTCTTACCGGCTGTTGATGTTGGAGTCAAACCCTTCACGAAACTCTTGCTCGCTCACTTCACAGCCCAGAATATGGACTTGCTCCCCACTGACGCAGAGATAAAGGGGAGTGTCAAAGAGTGAAGTCTAGGCTCCCTTCCCGGGGGGTGAAGGGGAGATACTGTGTAACTCACCACAGTGCAGATTTCTTGATAAGTGCTTTCAGCAGACTGCGCCCCTCCCACTCCACCGAGTCTGGGAAAAGAGATGGATAAATTTTGTAAGAACACTGAGGTCTCCGCCTTCACGAAGTTGTTGAGATCTCTACACCTGACCTGAGTGGTTGACACTTTTATATTTTCGCCTTTTAAGCCGGGCTCCCAACGTCTTAGGCCCGCGGTCCTTACCCCGAAGGAGCACCAGACCACCAAAAGCCAAAACTGACTCCAACATCTTCAACTGGCGTCGCGCTCACTCCTCCGACGCCCTTTGATGGCGTCATGACCGCTGCACCGCCTCCTTCAAGCGAAAGGGGCGGAGCACTCAGGTTTCCCACCCACTAAAAACCGGAGCGAGGCGGTCACATTCAACGTTGCCAGGGAGGCTCCTGCGGAGGGGGTTTTCCTGAGCTTAGTCGCAGACTTAGGGACGACGCCACTCTACATTTTTACCATGAGTAGGAAGGAGGAAGGGAAGGGCCGTTGGGGCAGTTGTCAACATGCGAGGGGGAGGGTCAAATGAGTCTGTCAGATGGTCGGAACCTCTCGGCCTAGAGCCTCCACTCGGCCCCGCCCACATCCCGGGAGGCGAGGCCCGCTTCCTCTCAGGCCCTGCCCACCGACATTTTCCGCGCGTGCGTAATACTGCGGTCTTGTGGGACACAAACTCCATTTTCCTGTCTCCACCCCCATAGACCGACCTAGGGGAACTGAAGTCCCGGTAAAGCGAATACACGTCACCACCGGAAGTAGTGTCAGAGGGGAAGAGGAGGGGGGAAGAAAGGCGGAGGGAACCCTTTGGGCGGTAAAATGGCGCCTGTCAGAGTGGGAAATCCAGCTGCAGAGGCTGCAGCCCCGATTCCCAGCGGCTAAGGCACCACCGACTTCGGGGAGGGGGAGGCCGCTCCGGTCCAGCCGTCTTCGTCCTTCGGCTCCCCCTCCCCCTCTTTTCTTGCACCTTTGCTCAGCTGTCCAATTCTTGGCGGACGCAGCCCTTTGAGCGCCGCTGCCCCCGCCCGCCCGCCCCTTTCCCGCGGGCAGCCCCCTAGCGCGCCTGCGCAGCGGGCCACCCTTCGCTCCCCCTTCCCC